CTGACTCTGTTTGCAGGGTCCTTTGTGTCTCTTGTGTTAGGGGTGTTCTTATGTTGCGTAAATCTCACCAGTTCACTCCCAACTCAGTTTGCTTGGTCTTTGTATTGTCTGGGGTGTCAAACTGCTGAGAGGGGCATGTATATATATTGAGTCTGCTCTGTCCAGTGGCCAGAAAAGAGTCGTTAACTTTTGTTTCATTTTTGTTTCTGTAGCTGAAAACTATTCATTTCAGAGTAGGCCAGCGTGACTGTTTTGTTCTTTTCTTTGGTGCCGTCCACAGTTTAATTCTCCCAGAGTGGTTCTAAATATCATAGTACAGCATTTTTTATTGTGGCTGGTTTTAATAAAATAGTTTAAATGTAACTGTAAATTTTGTTACTCTTATTTTGTATTTATTTTTTTATTTTCTTCTAATGCGGCTGCTTTACTGGATTTGTTGAAGACCAAAGACAATAACTGTAACTGTTCATTTAAATTATTTATATCAATAAAAATGCTTTGTATTCTGATCTTTTGGTTGGCCTCTTTATAAATCTGTGTAGTATTACTGTCTCATTTTGAGTTCAACAGAATCAGATGTTGATCACAAACAATGTAACAAAAGTTGGACGATGATGATAATGAAACATCTTCCCTCATTTACACTTACAGCACATAGTCACAGCCTTTCAGGCTTAACCTAACACAGGTCACTGTATGTTTAGGGGTGTACTTATGTTGAGTAAATCTGGGTAACAGTTCTGTGTCTTATTTCTGTTAAGCTGCTCGTAATATTACACATCAACTAAAACTGTGTAGCCACTCCCTCACACATGTAACCCTAGTGAATGATTAGCTGACATCAAACTGACCAACACTGAGTGAATGAATGACTGGACTCTAGGAAGGGTTTACAGTGCTGCTCGGTGAGCGAGGTGACCCTCTGCACCGGTACCTGTTAACGTCCCCCCGAAAGGCCAACTTCACCTGCCAGTGAAGCCACAAGTGCTGCTGCACCAAACGGCTATCTGTGCCTTAAAGAGCCGGTGTGGTCTTTGCACTGTGAACCAGCCCACAGCAAACAACATCACGGTCGCTCGTGCAGGACTCCACAGTTTGGCAGTTGACTGGGATGAGCCCTGAGTTCCACGCGCACACTGAGCTGCACAGCTGACCATCTTTAATACCGCACACTGACCCCAGACTAAACACACAGCGGGCACTGCATTCTGCTTAGCATGTTTTTTCTTGTTCCCTCTTTCTTTCTGTGGTGTGTGTATGTGTCTACTGTGTCTACTTCCTTTTGGAGTCAAAAACAGTAGACAGGTCACAGGTCATCTTTAGCTTGGACAATACATTCTGAAAAAGCCTAATAAAGACTGCAGCGATTAAAGCTTCTTCTGGTACCTCACTAAGATTTTAATTAAGCAACATAGCATTAAATTCCAACATACCACCAGCTCCACAAAACATTACGTGGAAGGTATATGCCGAGGTGTGGAAAGATTTCCGCACAGATTTGAGTGAGTGGATGATTTTTCACATTTAGATGTGGAGATCTTCCTCATCTTCTGTCTTCAGTCTGAGAAATGAGGAACAGTAACTCAGCGCTAGTTAGTTAAGAACACCAAAGACAGCAGCTGAACAATGAGCTTCACTGAATCTGTTTTTGAGTATCTATTTTTCCCCAAACATACAGCATCACTTTATTTTCAGGGACCCCCAGAACATTTGTTTTGAGACATTTAGGGGGTCCACACATTGCTTGAACCTCAGCAAAACCGTGTCTTTATTAGGTTTGAGATAAACCTCAGTCAAACCTGATCAACAGCACCACCTAGTGGCAGATGTGTAATTTTTAAATGACAGCAGATGGGTTCAGGTAGAACTGCAGGTTTAAACTGAAGCTATAAAGGACACAATAATGGAGTTTAAGACTCCTTCAGGTTTAAACTCAGATTAAGCTCTAAACCATAGTGACAGTGTAACTACCCCTTTATGATTTTATCCAGAATGATAAACTGTGTTTGTATGTCGTATCAGCTTCAGCTGTCGTCCCATAGAAGCCTGAGTGATGTGTAGGTGAGTAATAATGCTTCACACCTGTTCAGAGCCCATCAGAGCCCATTTAGAGGATCAGGGACGTTAGGAGCTGGAATAAATCTAAAATATGATAAACTCAACACGGACACAACAGGGGATACTAAACGTGATAAAGTTTTATTCCATTAAAACCACACAAGTGCAGTAAGATAAAATATAAAAGGTAAATGTTTCTTGAACTTTAGAGGCGTTTAAACCTGAGCTCATATGTGCTGTAGCTCTCCATCTGTGTGCAGTAGAGTTTACCATTAACCATTAATATCACCAAAACAACTGAGGTCTGTGACAAGCTATGGTCTGTCGTTCAGTCGTCTTAAAACATGTTTCTGTTTCTCTTTAGAGTTCATGGCTGATCTGTTGTTCTATATAACTGTCATAACTGCAGTGACAGACAGAATTAATGTAGTTTATTGTGACTTATATGACAGTTGTATTAAATGTGTGCTGGAACAGAGTGATGGCTTCTGTATTTAAAGAGAAATCCTGAGAAATGTGAGATTAGCAGGTTGTTTACTGGCTGCATCACAGCACACTTTCCTTTTAAAAACCTCAAGCAGCGCAGTCGGTTCTGCAGGCACTTCCTCTTTACAGACAGGAAATCTAAAAAACAAAGCCTTGAGCTGAGACCACTGACACGAGGAACAAACCCACCAGTTTGAGTAACATCTGCAATATTTCTGCAGTTCCACTGTATAGATTTACTGTATCAGTGAATATGTGCTGTAGCTCTCACTCTGTGTGCGGTAGAGTTTACCATTAACCATTAATATCACCAAAACAACTAAAGTCTGTGACAAGCTGTAGTCTGTCAGTTAATCATTTTAAAACACAAGCAGCAAATGATTCATTTTTCTCCATTAAAGCACTGCAGAATTGCAACAATGATTGCGTATATGTGCATTTAATAATCCAGTAACTGCAGAAAATCAGATTTTGTCAGTAATCCTATCAACACGTTTACATGCACTTGAGTAATCAGATAATGGGAAACTCCGGGTCTATGTGAGTCAGACAATAATCAGATTTCTGCTTTGCAACCAGCCAATAAACTCACAGAAGAAGACGTGACGTAAACGTAACGTAAAACTCAAACTTCATGCCGCCACTTTACCTGAAAACATGAACATACATCATCTAAAAGATGAAGAAAATTTAAATCCTTTATTTCCTGTTTGGTTTCAGCGCCGCTCCAACAGTGTTTTGCTGCGTTTTGTGACACCCACCGTCTGATTTGCGCATGCGCAGACTGAGAAATCTGGAAGAAATCAGAGTAAGAGTTCACATGCACTGAGAAATCAGATCGGAGTATGGTGTTTACATGACCATTTGAGTAGTCGGATAACTACAGAAATCTGATTATGATCGGATTATTGAGTGCATGTATACACACTCAGTAGAACAACAGATAAATGTACTATTCTCTCCCAGACAACAAACAGTCATTGAATACAACATTAAAGCGTCAACAGATCATATGGAATCGATGTTCTAATCTAATGTTCTTGATCACTTTTTTCATCCTGAATTAATATTGGAACATTGAAAATTTAGCAAAAATTCAACATAACACTGATACTGCCTCGATCATTTTTAACCTTTCAGAAATCACATTACTGCAGTAAAACACTGCCAAAGCCACCCTGCTTCATCTTACGCAGCGATACCTCCTAAAACATCACTTTCCCTTTGATTGAATAACAAGAAAACAAGAAAAAGAACTATTCAGTGGTGCAACAAAGTCTCAAATACTGAAGATGTCAGAAATCCATAAACACACAATGACTAGTTTACTTCATGAGATTTGGAGCTCTGAAAAACAAAAACACACAATCAGTAGTGTGTTCATGTTAACTCGTTTGGTGTTAGCAGTCTGCTAAGTTTAAGACTGCTGTGTGTATTTTGGATATTCTGGTTGTTACGATCTCTCAGGTCTGTAACTAAAGCTTAGACTCCATTTAAATACTAATTTCACTTTAAAGTGTAAAGAACCAAGTGTTATGACATCTTTTTCAGTATAAAGGTCATAAGAAGTCATTTTACAGTTTAGTCATTATTGTAATGTCCTGCCACTGGCCAAGCATACAGGCTCACAGGAGCTGCTGTGGTAGGAGAGACGTTTTGTGTAAATAAATTGTTGTCCTTGGTTTAAAATGTGTGGTATGTGTTGCTCGGACTTTACTGTCCTGGGCTTTGGGGGAGTGAGGCAGTGTTAAGTGTCTACCATGAATGGATATTGTATGACTGGAGGTGACCTGCCTGTTACACTGGCTGTTTTAGCAGCGCTGATCAGTGTTTTTTAAAAGAGCACTCACATTTAAAGCACAATGTTCCCTGCACCTTGTTGCAAGCCAACAACACATTATGATTATAATAATGGGTCTGCATCCTTTACTTTATTGTTCATCTCATGATTGTACATTTAAACAATTCACAGGAAACACCACTTGAACGCACTTCAAAGTTGGTGGATGAAGTCAGGAGCTTTGGAATTTTACATCAATGTTATTTCCATCATGCAAACAGTCAAACAACAGAAAGTGAGCAGGTAAACAGTATGAATATAAATGATGATGCTAAAGTGAATTTTACACATGTACAGTTTACCCACAGTTCTTTTCTACTCCACTAAAACAGGCCTAAACAGATCAGCTGCAGCTCCATTTCACATCCTCAGATTTCTGTTTATCTCCCACAGGAACCGTTACGCTGGGTGAGCGAGCTCCTCCACCTTGGAGACTAAAGCAGCATCAGATCAGAAACTGAGCCAAAACCCCATAGAATAAAACCACCTGTTCTTAAGCCCCGCCCCCCTGCGCCTGTTAAAGAAGATCAAAACAAAAGCTTTAAAGTGCGTCAGTGCAGGATGAACATCAGCTGTATGATTCTGTCATATTAGAGACAGAGAGCGGTGAGTACAACTCAGAGCTGAGAGCTGAAGTGTGTTTGGAGATTCTCTGTTTCTGTTTCTGTTTGGAGTTTATGGCTGATCTGAAGCTCTTTTTTTAAATAGACTGAGTGGTTTATTTAACATCATCAGCTGATTCCACCATTAATAATGTAAGGAAAACTGAACTGACAGACAGAATTTATATCATTTATTGTGACTAATGTGATAGTTTTATTAAAATGTCCTGGAACAGAGTGATGAGCTTCTGTATTTAAAGAGAAATCCTGAGAGATGTGAGATTAGCAGGTTGTTTACTGGCTGCGCCACAGCACACTTCCTTTTTAAAAACCTTTAGCAGTGCAGTCGGATCTGCAGGCACTTCCTCTTTACACACAAGAAGTCTGCAAAACAAAGCCTTGAGCTGAGAACACTCTCACGAGGAGCAAACCCACCAGTCTGAGTAACATCTGTAATATTTCAGCATTTCCACTGTACAGATTTACTGTATCAGTGAATATAATGGAGTAAATCTCCAGCACACTCACTGATACTCATCAGTCTCTATTAACTCAGAGAGCTACTGCAGTTTGTGGACTCTCTGCTGTCCTGCTGAGCTCTGAGCTGATTGATTAAAATTTAATTCTGTGTTTTCTTCTGGCTTTAATGTACTTTTTCGGTATGTTGGTTCTGACCCTGTCTGCCCTTCAGTATTGTGTTTGCTGGTGATTTTCCTGGAGTGTCTGACCTGCAGACTGAGTACAATAAAGCCCTGCATTTGCATCCAATCTCATCTCATTACTGACAAAAAGTCAGAGACCACTTTTCATTTACAAACCCATTTCCAAAAGAAGTTGGGATGCTGTGCAGAATGTAAATAAAAACAGAATGCAATGATATGCAAATCATGCAATCCATATTTTTAAATGAAAGTACTACAAAGACAATATATCAAATGTTGAAACTGAGAAATATTATTGTTTTTTGAAAAATATATGCCCATTTTAATTTTGATACCAACAACACTTTCTAAAAAGTTGGGACGGGGGCATGTTTGCCACTGAGTTTCATCACCTCTTCTTTCAACAACATTCTGTACAGGAACTGAGGAGACACTGCTGTAGTTTTAAAAGTGAAATGTTTTTACATTCTTGTTTGATATAGGATTTCAGCTGCTCAACAGCTCAGGGTGTCCTTTGTCGTATTTTTCATTTCATAATGCTGCAAATGTTTTTTTAGTGGTGACAGGTCTGGACGGCAGGCAGGTCCGTTTATGCCTGGACTCTTTTAATACGGAGCAATGCTGCTGTAATACATGCAGAATGTGGTTTAACATTGTCTTGCTGAAATAATCAAGGCCTTTCCTGAAAAAGACGTCGTCTGGATGGCAGCATATGTTGCCAAAACATGTATATATCGTTCAGCATTAATGGTGCCTTCACAGATGTGCACGTCTCCCATGTCATGTGCACTAACGTCCCCCCTATACCGTCATGAATACTGGCTTTTGAACTGTGCACTGATAACAAGCTGAGTGGTCTTTAGCCCGGAGGACACAGTGTCCATGATTTCCAAAAAGAATTTCAAATGTTGATTCATTAGACCACAGGACACTTTTTCACTTCCCCTCAGTCCATTTTAAATGAGCTCAGGCCCAAAGAAGGCGGCAGCGTTTCTGGGTCCTGTTTATATTTGGTTTCTTCTTTGCATTTTAGAGTCTTGACTTGCATTTGTGGATGCTGTGATGAACTGTTTTCACAGACAGTGGTTTTCAGAAGTGTTTCTGAGTCCATGCATTGAATTCCACTAAAGAATCATGTTTTCAGATCTGAAGCAGCTTGATTTTCTCCTCTCTCTCAAAGATGAAAGCTTTAAGTGCTGTTTATCTGATGGGGCAGTTTTGGTGTCTACCAGGTCTTCCACATGGTTGTTAGGAGTCACATTTTCCCTGGAGCTTGTAATCAGTTTTTGAACTTCAATTTTGGAAACTTCTGTTTTTTCACATATTTTTCACTTTCTACTTCTTTATGCAAGTGGATCATCTATCGAATTTGTGTGTGTGTGTGTGTCAGTAGGTCAGTACTGATGGTGTGTTTGTGCGTCTGTAGGTCAGTCATGCAGTCCTGCAGTTCTGCTCTCTGTATCCTGATCTTACTGATCACTCCGTTCCCTACTGGTAAGAACTGCACTGTCACTACTTTATTCATCTTACTGAAGATTTCATCTTAGTCTTTGATGTATGAAGCAGGTTTTTAATATTTAAGAACTCAACTGGACAATGAAGCTTCTGCCATGTGATCTGCTGAGTACACACAGTTCACTCTGACTAATTTTAACATGTCAGCTCTTCACTGACAGATTTACTCTAGTAGGTACTGCTGTTTTTTTATTATTCTGTTTCCTTTTGTATCTTTGCCTTATTCTCTTTTTCAGGGTCTGTATCAGCTGTTCCTCAAGTGAAGGTGAATCTTCATGACTCTGCTATTCTGCCCTGCTCTGAGAGATGCTCTGGTTTGGTCAGATGGACTGTGTTCAGGAAACCCACTGATGTCCTGGCTGAATGTGATCAGACTTCATGTAGATCAAAGGAGGGATATCAGATGATCCATGATCAGTACCTGAAGGGGAATCTCTCTCTCACCATCACTGATGCTGATTTCTCTAAGAGGAACATGTACACGTGTACATGTGATAACATGGCTGTCTGTGATGTGTCTCTGAGGCTTCAGGGTAAGTCTTTCTTCTCCCTTTTTGTCCATTCAGTAAATCTGATTGTTATTTTTAACAGATCCAGAACGTCTCTGCTTTAAGGTAGAATGTTGACCATGTAAGAAGAAAACAGAAACAGGCCTACAAGAGGATGCACAGACAGATGTAGAAGTGTGGCCTGGGTCACAGTGTGTGGTGTCACAGGTGTAGCATCAGCACCTCAGTGTGGTCTTGTTATGGCAATGACTGAGCATTGAAATGGTGATGGCATCATGTAGTATTTATGTCAGCATAGTGATGTAATTCTATAGTGAATGTGTTGTGGTGACATCATTGTACAGTTTGTGTGTCAGTGTCGTGGTGTGATCAGCAGAGGGTGGGCTTTTACCCCCGATGAAGGTAATTCTAATTTATTGTTCAGAAGTGCAGTGAGGATGAGGCTCACAGGTGCTTGGAGCCTCTGAGGTTCAGCACTGTTGCCATCATGCTGGGATCTCCATGTTGAGCTGGGTAGAGCAGGAGATGCTGGGAAAGTCCAGTAGCTCTGATCTGATTGAGGCAGTGCTAGCCAGAGTTACAGGAACAGTAATAACGTACTGCAGCAGGAGCAGGCAGACACGGAGAGTCTGGAGTAAAGTCAGGTTCCATGGATAGAGGAAAACATAGCAGAGCCCAGTAGCACCTGCCATCAGCAGCACCAGCATCTCACAACAAGAAGTTCCTTGCAAGAAACGAGAGGCAGAGATGAAAATGCATTGGAAGTTAGGTTGGAAGGGGAGGAGCTTTAAGCATGCCCTGCTTCAAACTTTATTAACTATTTTATTATTATATATATCTCATAGAATAATAATTCTAATGTTGTGGTTTATTGTGTTTTATCTTTGCAGCTCCTGTGTATTCTAAGAAGATGAAGCCTGGAGAATCTCTCATCCTTGATCTTCCCATCTCAGAGCCAGTAAAGGTGACTTTTGACAGGACTGGAGACTCTGATCCAAACCCTGTGAAGCTGTGTGAAGTTGAGGGCCGTAAAATACAGTGTGACCCTCCATATGAGGAGAGAGTGCTGTTCCAGTCCAGTCTGCAGCTGAACGACCTAAAGGACTCTGATGGTGGTGTTTACACTGTACTGGACACTGAGAATGAAGAGACTGTGTCTACTTACAGAGTCAGCATTGTTAAAGGTAAGCCTTTAACTTATTTCTCTTGCCAGCACAAATAAGGGTGCAAATTCGGTCTGACAGGGGTCTGTTCATGTAAAACCATGAACAAAAATCAGCTTACAGTTACTATATTGTCATGATCTCTAATGGTTTATAGGTCAATTCTGAAATACTGAAATACGCAATATTATCAAGGGAACATATATGTAGTTTTCTGACATACATTCATTGTACAACCCCATTTCCAAAAACGTTGGGACACTATGCAAAAAGTACATAAAAACAAAATGCAATGATGTTCAAATCATTTAAACTCTCTATTTAAATGAAAATAGTACAAAGACAACATATCAAATGTTGAAACTGACAAATTTTATTATTTTTTGAACATTATTTGCCCATTTTGAATTTGATGCCAACAACACTTTCCAAAAAAGTTGGGACGGGTGCAAGAAAAGACTGTTAAAGCTGTGTAATGCTAAAAAAAAACACCAGCTGGTTGGGTGGCAAAAGGTCAGTTACATGACTAGGTAAACAAAACATTTCAGAGAGGTCTTTCAGAAGTAAAGATGAGGAGGGGTTCACCACTCTGTGAAAGACTGCACCATCAAATAGTGCAACAAGAATAACGTTTCTCAACATGAAATAGTAAAGAACTTTTGCTTTTCATCATCTACAGTACATACATACATACATACATCATCTAAACCGCTTATCCTTCTGGGTCGCGGTGGGGTGCTGGAGCCTATCCCAGCTGTCATTGGGCGGAAGGCAGGATACACCCTGGACAGGTCGCCAGTCCATCGCAGGGCAGACAGACAGACATACACATTCACACACTCACACCTAGGGGCAATTTAGCATGTCCAATCAGCCTGACTGCATGTTTTTGGACTGTGGGAGGAAACCGGAGTACCCGGAGGAAACCCACGCAGACACGGGGAGAACAGGCAAACTCCACACAGAAACGACCCTGGTCACCCGGCCGGGAATCGAACCCAAGCCATTCTCGCTGTGAGGCAACAGCGCTACCCACTCTACAGTACATAATATCATTAAAAGACTCATAGAATCTGGAGAAATCTCTGTATGTAAGTGACAAGGCCAAAAACCAGTATTTGCTGGCCGTTATCTTTGGGCCCTCAGGCAGCACTGCATTAAAAACAGACATGATTCTGTAGCGGTAATCACTGCATGGACTCAGAAACACTTCTGAAAACCACTGTCTGTGAAAACAGTTCATCACAGCATCCACAAATGCAAGTCAAGACCCTAAAATGCAAAGAAGAAACCATATATAAACAGGATCCAGAAACGCTGCCGCCTTCTTTGGGCCCGGACTCATTTAAAATGGACTGAGGTGAAGTGGAAAAGTGTCCTGTGGTCCGACGAATCAACATTTGAAATTCTTTTTGGAAATCATGGACACTGTGTCTTCTGGGCTAAAGACCATCAGACTTGTTATCAGCACACACTTCAAAAGCCAGTATTCATGATGGTATAGGAGGGCATTAGTGCACATGACATGGGTGACATGCACATCTGTGAAGGCACCATTAATGCTGAACAATATATAGATGTTTTGGCAACATATGCTGCCATCCAGACAACGTCTTTTTCAGGGAAGGCCTTGACTATTTCAACAAGACAGTGTCAAACTGGTGTATTCTTAAATGGAATTATGAAATGTGTGGGAGTGAAAAAGTGTGGGAGGAGGTATGAGTCTCAAACCCCTCCTCCTTCCAATCTAGGGACTTCTAGGGATATCTTCATCTTCGATTTCCTGTAATTAAGTTCTCACACCACCACCTTTACCACCTCACCTCCTCCCTGTTCCTCAGTCCTACATCAGTCCTACTACAGCTATGAGGGGGTCCGGCCTTCTAGCTACAGGCAGAAGCTGCCCAGAACTCCAGCCCAAGTTCTCAGAGTTCAACCCCTCCCTCAATCAGTCTTCCCTCATACTACCACCACCATGTTGAGGACACAGTCTGAGCTCACAAAAACACAGTAATAATTATTGACTAGAGACAAGACCAAGTCCAAATGATATCAAGACCGAGTCCAAATAATGTCATGACCGAGTCCAAACGATGTTGAGACTGAGAAGAGACTAATGATGCCAACACTTAGTTCAACTGACGTTGAGACCGAGATAAGACCCGAGTCCAAATGATATCAAGACCGATCCAAATGATATCAAGACTGTGACAAGACCCAGTCAAGAAAATGTCCAGACCAGTCCAAATGATGTTGAGACTTAGAAGAGATTGAGTCCAAATGATGTTTAGTACCGAGACGAGACTTGATGAAGGCAAGACCAAGACAAGCTAATTTATGCTCCTGAGACCAAGACCAGACTTGAGTACTATAACACTACCCATTCCAATGGCAGTTTTTTCACTGATTGGATAGATATGCATGTTGTTGTCATTCTCATGTGAGACTGAAGGCTCTGCTTCAAGTGGTAGACATTTTTTGAGAAGCCAGTATTCTCTGTGTGGCCTCAACAGACAGCAATCATGAAATGCTGATACAAATAAGTTAGCTGTTAGGCTGCTTGGCTAAACACTGCTGCAATCTGCCAGACTTTACCTGTCTTTCCTAAAAATGTATTTTAAACCCCCTCAGCCCTCCCAAAAAAAGATTTCTTTCCATGACACTGTCTGTTTTTCTCACTTTAGTTGGGCAGCCAAGTGACACATGCAGTTGGGAGAAATTCGGCATTGGGGTAGCCTTCTTCTGTCTTGGAGCGCTGCTGGGGTACTTCGTACCAGGGCCTGTAGTAAGATTCTGGGGGTGGCTGAAGAGGAAAATACAGCCCTTTTGTTGTGAAAAAGAAAGATCTGCTGAGGAAAAAAGGCTTTCTTCTACCCCTGAAAGTACTCCCCTGGAAGAGGTCTCCTCAGGTTCCCATGTGGAAACACAGGCTGTAGAGGATCAGAACTAAGTACATTTTCATTTCTGCCTATTTAGTCTGGAGGAGAGACTAAAATCTCTTTTGTGTCTATTAAATGATAAATTGTACTTTGTTTTTGTGTAAAGGCACAAATGTGAACCTGTTGTAGTTCTGTTGAGCAGTGCTGTGACCACTGGAATTCAATGTGGTTTAATTGGTCAATGAATGTGGGTTTTATCTTGTCCAGTTGAGCCGTAAGCAGGAGATTAAGGAGTGAAACTGGGAGTCAGAAGTGACCAAACCTTCCTCCTAAATCTCCTAAACCTTCAGCTCAGCCTGGGTGGCTGTTAGCTTTTTGTGTTTTGCTGCCTGTTGCTATTTTTTCAGGTGACAGCCCTGCACTTTATGAAAAATTAATGAGGTGTGACTGGGTCAGTTCCCCTCTTGTCACTGGGGTGGAACCCTCAAGGGTCCATTTCAGTACCTTTAGTCAGGGAACATAACTGAACCATAATCCACTAAAATGATATGTTCTAAGCTGTACTGACTCCACACACCCCGTCTCGTCTCCAGGCTTTTATTTTACTGTTCTGTTTTAAAACATTCGGTTATGAAAAGGTACAAATACGAACTTTTCACCTGGAAAAACTTATTTAAAAACTTACTTATTTATTTACCTATAAAAGGGACATTTACGTTGTTTGCACCTTGATGAACAAAAAATAATATTCCTGCACAGCACCTTCATTTCTAACAGTGTCATTACAGAAGATTCCTAATTACAGCATTAACTTAGTCAGTTTAGCTCTCAGTCAGAAATGACCCTCCCACTGACTGTTCTGATTGGCTGCTCCAGTTTTTGGGGTCTCTCTTTATTTCTTTCTTTCCTATTGATGAGATTGTTTTTGATAAGCAGGTTTTATAAAATGAAATAATTTTACATAGAAAACTGAATGTCTTTCATTCTGCATGCAGTGAAAACTGTAAATATGTAAATGTGACTAAAGATTTTTACTTTTATTGTTTATTTGTTTTGTATTTTTTGCAGATCTACAATGCAGATATTTGTTTACTGAATCTGTTGAACACCAAAGTGCTGTGATTCTAACTGATATCTGTGAATTTCCAACACTAATAAAGCACCAGTGACGGTGTCATCAGCTCTGTTCACAACAGTAACTGATACTTTATTCCTTTTTTTCAATTACACATTAAAAGCCCTTGTATTCTGATCCTGTGACTGGTGTCTTTATAAGTCTGTATGTCTCAGTTTGAGTGTAACAGAATCTGGTGTTAATTAAGGCTAAACTGTAACGGGAATCAGTGAATGAAGGTCTAAGATGTTCTATAATAACATTTTCCAGCCTGATTGAACTTGAGGTAACTGGGTGTGTCCACCCTGCAGTGCACTGACCTTCAGTTCAGCAGATGTGGAGGTGCCTGACCTGTGACCCAGTAATGTAGAGACTGTCCTGTACAGTAGATGTTTTACAGGTACGAGTCTAAATCAGTGCTGTGTTAAGAAGCTTGCAGAGCTTTACTGAGACTCTGACAGTCTAAACTGACACTGTAACAGAGAGAATAAACAATATATAACCTACATGCTAATATATATAATTTACATTTATGACCAACTGAAGAATGAAGAACAATGGGTAATAAATGGTAATTAAAAAAACAGAAAAACAAACAATAGAAGTGAAGCATTATGGGATATTTGACAGTGTGTCGTTTGAAATGAGACGAGGGGTGAAGCAAAGCAGGTGACATGTTTCAGACTGTTCAGAGTCCAGAGTGAGCGGTCAGGAGGCTGGTAGGAACACAGAAGAGCAGGAACATTAAAGATACTAGGAACGATCTGATGAACACATCACTGTCTTCTGGGAGCTGAGGATCAGTTATATCAGTTTGTCTCCACATCACAATTTAAAGAGCTGCAATTTAAATTTTAGACTATTATCAGCAAAATTTCATGTATGGACCAAACAAGTCAGACCAATCAGAAACAACCAAACACACATGTGCTGTGACATCACAACCATGACTAACTGACAGTCTGGAACACTGTGTTCAGCATTCAGGCCTTAAGCCAGAAAAAGAGGAAGTAGTGGGCTGAAAATATAATAATATACCTGGAGCTTCATTTATAGAATAGAGTCCCAGTCACTGTAATAGAGCAGTGATAGTTGTGGAAATGGCTGCATAAAGCAGAACAGAACGACTGCAGTTCTATCAGACTGGTGTAGGTGGTGTTTGTGGGTGAAAACAGAGATTTAAACTGGATTTAAAGTGAATTCTCCTGTTTTATTTTCATCAGCCTGCAGCTCCACGTTTCTCCTGCAGGTGGCGGTACATTCTATTTCATATGTAAACAGTTCACTGTGAGTTACAGTTACAGAGCACAGACTGTACAGACGCCTTATTCTCTAAACATTATTATTATTATTATTATAGAGTTGAATATGGGGATCAGTGTGCTGTAACCGGAGGTGAGATTGAGGATAAACAGGTGGAATAATGAACATAAACTCAGATTTCAGACCCACAGTGGAACAGCAGGTCAGTCACAGCCAACAGTAACACTTGTTGACAATGTTGAGTACTTTATTAAAAAGCTGAATTGAAGGTAAAATTGTTCTGATTAAATTAAATACACCATTAAAAGTTACTTTCCACCTCACACTAACTCAGCTTATAAACAACATGTTTACTAGACATGTTTTATTATTATATACAACAGTAAATACACAGTTAGTATTTCCTATTAACTGTGTCAGTCTGTGGACTGTTTAGGAAGCAGGTTCAGTTTGTAGCACCCACAGCGCCCTCTGCTGCACAGGTTTGGGTACTTCTTGATGAAACTGTTGAAAAATTTACTTACAGTCAAAACTCAGAGTGAACTGTTACACATATATCTGTGCTTGTGGGTTGTGGTGAATATGAAATCTTCACAAATATGTATCATAAACATTATTTAAAGCATTAATTAGATCATCTCTCTAATCTGCACCTTTTATTGTAAAACACTGATATCCTCAGTTCAGAAGTACAGGATGACTGAAGATTAATACTGTATAATCATAGTTATATAATACGGTTCAGTACAGATGTTCTTCTCTTTACTAATCCATCTTCTACTGTTAATGATAAATGTATTTTAATGTAGAATCTGGAATAATTAAACCATAAACAGCATCTGATTCTCAGATACACAAAGGCTGGACTAGAAAATAAGAAATAGATACACCAAACCAGTAAAAATCATCTGTTGCAATATTGAAGATGATGATTGTGTGTAACAGTTTGATGGAGAACAGTGTGCAGCAGGGGGCGCTGTGGGGCTACAAACTGAACCTGCTTCCCAAACTGACCCAGTAAACAGGGAATAATTGCTGATAACTGTTCCAGTCTAATAAGAGCCTGTTTAAACTGCTAAACAGCTACTGCATCATTTTATCTGTGAGTTTAGAACAGAGAGCTCAGCTCTTTATGTCTGTTTATAAAGGAACACTGACTGTTCAGAAATGTAGGACTCAGTATGGAGTGCAAGTCCTGTAGTGTTGAAATACGCTGTATAAACTAAACACATTACTGTATTTATTATTAAAATAATCTGTATGAACTGAATGAGAACCTAAAGATCTAATTTAACCTTTCCAGCTTTATCCAGAGTCTTACATCAACTTTTTAATGATCTTATTTTCCACAAGACCAGAGCACCCATGACATCATCACAATATTGATAATTTGTTAAGTTATTTTATAATAAATTAAACATTCTCTTAAGGTTTATACATTTGAGTAGTGTGTTTGTAGTGTGTTTATTTTCCTACACAGTAACTCAGTAACAGTCTTCAGCTACAAACTCCACTCAGACGTCCCACAGCACAGTGACCATCTGAGCTCCTGAGTTCAAACTGATTTACCCATCAGTCTCTGTTAGAGTCGAACGTCTCGCTCTTTAACACAGAGTTGGTGCCTCTGTTACAGTAACAGCTGCCACTCTTACAGATGTGGGAACATCACTGTGTGGATTCACTGTTCAGCTAAAAGAGCATCACATCACATACTGTCATTTTTCATCAGCACATTAGAAAAGAAATACTTTATTAGAATAAAATAAAGTTAATTATTATAATAATTATATATTATTATTAAATTAAATTAAATTAAATTAGCATTCAGGTGGTCAATGTCTATGTAAAAATAACACCTGAACATTTGGCACTTGAAAGATTTTGGTAGGCTTAATGAGCACACTTACCCTGCTTGTTTAATTTTGTTTTAAAATGTTAATTTATTCATGTAGTTTATTTTTAGTTTGACCTGATTTTAGCTTAATCTGATTAACTTTCATTTTCTTTTTCAATCCTTTTAAGCTGTAAATGATCAACTGCTTTGAAAATGAGTCACTCTCAATGTGTAATGAGAATAAAGGTTGATTGACCAAAACAAGATCAAACAAATCAAATAAAAACAACACACAAACACACACACACACACACACACACACGCACACACACACATGTATATATACCGTTTTCACATTCAAAGATCAAAATGTTAAAACTATCTTCCTTCATTTTATTTACACTGACTGAACTCAGTAACAGCCTGTTTTATTTCCACCTCATCCTCTGGTTTTAATCTAGCAGAAGCTACAAGCCGACTCATTTCTTTCATTGTGTCTTTCCTGAGTGTAAGTAAAAGGTCTTTCAGTGCGTGGTGGGGGAACGAAGAATGGGTGGTTTTCTGAGATGAAGTGTGTGATATGATGATGTTCGCCACAGTTTCCTTTTTCAGTCAGTACCCATGCTGACATAACCACAGCTCATCTCCAGCTTCACTGAACATTCTGATAAAGACTAATCAGTCCTGCAGTGATAAACACCTCCTCCAGTTTAGTACAGAACCTCAGTAAAGTACTACAGCATTATATTAGAACAGGCCATGGAGTCCTCAGAGCATTATGGGGGAGGTATGTTTGTAGGTATAGGTATTAAATATTAATGTCTGAGCTGAAAATGGGCTTCAGCTATGATCATCTTTCTAAACCTCAGTTAAACCGTGTCTTTATCAGGCAGATGTTTGATTTTAAATGACACAGAAATTGGGTTTAGTTTAATCCACAGGTGTGTTTTAAACTGCAGCTTCTGAGGACAAAGTGATGGAGTTTAAGACTCTCATTCAGGTTTAAACTGGGGTTAAACTCTGAACCTCAGCTAAGCTAATGCCCCAATCAGAGCCTATCATGGACATCACCAGTACATTAATACACACTCCCCAGCTGCATGTCTGGTTTAAAAAGAGATCATAACTAGTCCTGTTTAATGGATTTAGTCCAGTGTAATATCTGAAATGTTTCATAGGTTTTCATAGTGTTTATTAAAT